CATCTTTTTTTAAATGTATAATATTTCTATTGATTCAAGAATGTCATATAATGTATTGTGATCACATTCAGAGCCCTCTGTCCCTCTCCATCCTCAAGAGCCTGCTTCATATACAACCCAGGGACCATCTCCCCAGGGGCGGCACCACCCACAGTGGGCTGGACCCTCCCACATCACTCAACAATCAAGAAAATGCCTTGCAGATATGTCCACAGGTTAAACCAATAGAAGAATTCCGAAACTGAGGTTCCCCCTTCCTAGGTATGTCAAGCTGACAACTGAAGCTATCCAGCACACCAACTGAGGAACTGCAATCTGATATATTCACTAATGTTATACAGAAATATAATAAAAAGTTTCTTCACTATTAAAAAAGCCTGAGTCATTGACAAATACAATTTGACAGCTGGCTGTGGTGGCTCACACCTGAATACCAGCACTCTAAAGGCTAAAACAAGAGGACTACGTGGAGCTCCAGACTAGCCTAAGCTACAGCAGTGAGCTCCAGGCCAGCCAAGTTTACAAAGTAAAACCCTGCTTCAAAAATAAAAAGAAAAAAGCATTTAAAAAATAAATTAAGTGCCGGGCGTGGTGGCGCACGCCTTTAAGGCAGAGGCACACGGATCTCTGTGAGTTCAAGGCCAGCGTGGTCTACATAGTGAGTTCCAAGACAGCTGGGGCTACAGGGAGACCCTGTCTCAAAAAGACCCGGGGGCGGGGGGGAGGCAGCACCAGTAGGCCTAGGAGCTTGCTGAGCATGTATTAAGCACCCTCTGTGTGCCAGGCTGTTCTAGTGAGTTAAAGAATGAACTAACAAGGGGCAGAATGAACGATGTGTTCTGGGGACAGATGTGCGTGGTGGCACAGAGCCTGCTGTGGAACTGACCACCTGGGAGACATTGGCCCTCTGGAACTTAAGTTTCCCCATCTGTGGCTTGGACTAACAGCTGGAGCCCAGAGCCTGAATTAGTAAAGCTGCCTTTTGACCCCAGTGACCCTGAGGGTCCCCAAGTACCCCTCTAATATCCTCCAGTCTAGGCTGACTTTGGCTTATGTCCCATCTGTCTTCATGTGTCAGTAGAGCCCACAGTACCCACTCCTGCCCCTCTTGCCCATAGAACCACGTCAACCTTGTGCATCGGAAAGGGAAGACCAAAGTGTGCCCTCACCCTGGCTGTGGCAAGAAGTTCTATCTGTCCAACCACCTGCGGCGGCACATGATCATCCACTCAGGTCAGGCGCTGCCAGCCGGGGACCCACAGGCAAGGGCTGGGGCAGGCATAGTCACACCTGTCAGGTGTGGTGCCAGTCTGTAATGCCAGCACACAGGAGGTCAACTGGCTGTGCAGTGAAACCCCGTCTCAAGAACAGAATGATGGGAACTGGGCACTCCTTTAATCACTCAGGAGCTAGAGGCAGACAGGTCTCTGAGATCGAGTTCTAGGCAAGACCGTTTTCCAAAAAAAAAAAGCCCCTCACATTTTCATGTGAAATTGCACAAACTTCAAGCACTGGGACCACATTCCAAACTATCTTAGTTTGACACTTAACACCCTGTATCCCTCAGGGAACACCAGAGCCCAAATACCAACTTTTCTGGGCAGTGTAGCTGGGTAGTTAACTACCACTTCCTATTTACTATGGGAACACAGGCTCTGGGGGGATGTGGGCTGTCGGGGCTCCTCAAGGCCACCTCTGCCCCTCAGAGTTCCCCCACCCCGTGCTCCCAGCCATCGCCCCAAAGGCGGAGCGTCCTCAGCTGGGTCCCCACCGCCCACAGGTGTCCGAGAGTTCACCTGCGAGACCTGCGGCAAGTCTTTCAAGAGAAAGAACCACCTGGAGGTCCACCGGCGCACGCACACTGGGGAGACGCCCCTACAGTGAGTGACAGGTGCTCGTCGATTAGGGGAGGGACTTGATACCTGAGCTAATCCTCTGGGCGGTCCCGATCCTGGGCTCCCTGGGTGAAGTTCCCCGGGGTGGCATTTCCCCTCTCTACAGCCGGCCCCGCCCACGGTGAGCCATCCTCCCGGCAGGTGCGAGATATGTGGGTACCAGTGCCGGCAGCGCGCATCGCTCAACTGGCACATGAAGAAGCATACGGCAGAGGTGCAGTACAACTTCACGTGTGAGCGCTGTGGCAAGCGCTTTGAGAAGCTGGACAGTGTCAAGTTCCATACGCTCAAGAGCCACCCGGACCACAAGCCCACCTGACCCGCCCGGCCCTTAGCCTCTATTTATTCGTGCTCGGGCTTGTTGGATAGAGCCTGACAGCCACAGGGGCCTCCCTGACCGCAGGCCGGAAGGAGGCGCCCCCTTCTCCACCATGTTCTAGGGCTGGGTCCTCTGGGCAGGTCCCCCACCCTGCCCCATCACGTCCCATTTATGGAGCTGGCGTTGGGGGTTGCACTGTTGAACTGTCAAGAGCACAGAGTGAGATTAAAGTGTGAGTGAGCAGATGCCCTTCCCCTAGGCCTGGATAATTTGAGGGGGGCCGAGCAGTGCTAGGTTAGAGGTGACTGTCCTTGTATGGCACATAGGTCCTTTCCTGTCAACCTCTGCTCCCAAACCCACCATCCCCCAGAATCCCGACGTCTCACGGTTCCTGGTCCAGAGAGCTCCGTGAGGAGCCAAGATGTAGACCAAACCCATAAATGAGGCATCTACATCTAGCAGCAAACACCATGCAGAGAATGCCATGATACTACTTACCGAGGGATGCTATTTAGGTTAGTGGTCAGGGAGGCCCCCCCTGAGGAGGTGACCTTTGCCCATGAACTAGAATGACAAAGAGGATCCATCACTGTGGAAATCCCGGGAGTGGAATGAGCTCAACATGTTCTTAGAATAGGATGCAGCTGGGCGGCTGGCCTCCAGGGAGAGGGACCGAGAAGGAGGTGCGGCCACCAGGTGGTGCTCGAGCCGCGTGAACCCTGGCTGCTGCAGCCAGGGAACCCAGGGGACCGCGAACTCGAGCACTTGCCCCGAGATCCCCGTGGCGCCAAGAGCAGATTGGTCCCAATGGGACTTCAGCCAAGCCTCGATTCCCGCATGGCACTGAGGGCCACGTCAGGCAGGGAGGAAGAATCGCTGGGTCTCCTGGCTCCCGGCACAGCTGCACTGGGCAGTTTCCATGGGAACCGCAGTGGGGTCCGCGGGCCCAGGTAGCCCTGCTCCATTATTGATTACTATTCGACAGGAGCGGGAGGGGAGCTTGGGGTATGGAGAGAGCCACTGAGCTCTGGCAAACCCTAGAGGGCCCTACCCGGGAACTCGCACTACCACCGCCCCTATTGCACGGACCACTGTAATTGGCCCGCCCTCTCCATCAGCGAGGCAGCACCCTTTGCTGTGCTCTCTCCTCTCATTGGCTCGATCTCTAGGGCATCTTCCAGCAATTTGGTCTCTTGAGAACCATTCCTTATTGGTCAGATCAGGCTCTCTGACAATCTCGAGCCTGAAGGGGCATACAAAAATAAGGATAGGGGGACGAGGTGGCTCAGCGGATTATGGCTCCTGGCGCCAAGTCTGAGGACCTGAGTTCGATTCCTGGGACCCACAAGGTAGAAGCCGAAAACTGAATCCGAGTCATGCAAGTTGTCCTAGTTCCACAGATGCGCCATGGCACGCGCCTCTCCCACAAGTGAATTTTTTTTTTTCTGTCTTTTTGACACAGGGTCCTTGTAGCCCCAGCTGGCCTGGAACTCAGTATGTAGACCAGGCTGGCCTTGAACTCACAGAGATCCGCCTGCCTCTGCTTCCTGAGTGCTGGGACTAAAGGCATACACCACCATGTCCACCTGTAATTTGTTTTAAATTAAGATCAATCTGGGTATGGTGGCACGGGACTTAATCCCAGTACTCAGGCAGAAGCTGGTGGGTCTCTGTGAGATCAAGAACATCCTGGTCTAGATATCGAGTACCAGGACAGCTCAAAATTAATTAGGGCTGGAGAGATGGTCCAGCGATTAAGATCACAGGCTGCTCTTGCAAAAGACCTGGGTTCGAATCCCAGCACCCACATGGCAGGTAACTCCAGTTCCAGGGGGTCTGACGCCCTACTCTGTCCTCTGCGGGCACTGTACAACAACAGGTACATATACATAAATGCAGACATAGCACTCATAAACATAAAAATAATCTTTTAATTTAAAAAAAAATGAGTGGTGTGCTGTGTGCCTTCAATCCCAGCACTATAAGATTGAGGCCAACCTGGTCTACATAGCGAGTTCTAGGCCAGTCAGAGGTACAGGGAGACCCTGTCTCAAAAATAAATAAACGAATGAGGATAGGCTGGGGCCGCGACTCTCAGCAGGGTTGCAGGGTCTGGGCCATGTGCCCGGAACCCCTTACATATGTTGTTAGAACGCTGTCTGTGGTGCTGAAGCCTCACCCCGAGAGAAGGCGTATTTCTCCGCCTTGCTGCCGCCCAGACCCAGACGTACGGGTGCGTGGGAGCACTAAAGGAGGTGGCACCATCCCCATTAGAAAGAAGCTAGGTCCTCCCTAGCAGAAGGAGTGTACTTCCACAGAACAACCAGTCACCACCAGAAGAGCCAGGCATTAGCTTGTAGGCCCCTACCCTGGTTTGGACAAATTTGGGGAGGTATCCGTGATTTCTCAGGCTGCAGGGCTCTAGATCCTGCTGCCTTCACTTCTCAAGTCATGGATTACAGGCTCTTACCACTGCACCCTTGAGTGGTTCTGAGGATGATACCTGGGGCTTCATGCATACTAGGCAAGCCAACTCTTGCATCCCTGACCATTTTAAAAATGACATTATTGTTTTCATGCGTGTGCATAATGTGGGGCTGCATGCCACAGTGCATGTGTGGAAGTCAGAGAAGAGCTTTGTGGAATCCTGTTCTCTTCTTCCATTTTTCCATGGGTTTTTAGAGATCAAACTCAGTTTACCAGGATTGCAAGGTAAGTACTTGGCCAACTGAGCCATCTCTCCAGCTTTCTGCAGCCTTTAAAACAATATTTATTTACTTAATGTATGAGTGTTTTGCCTTAAAAGTATGTAAATATACCCATGTCGTGCAATGCCCTACAGAGGCCAAAAGAGGACATCAGATCCCCTGGAACTGGAGTTACTGACGGTTGTTAGCTTCCATGTGGGTGATGGGAACCCACCCTGGGTACTCTGCAAGAGCAGCCTGTGCTCTTATCCTGCTGAACCGTCTTTGACCTTGATCCTTTGATTTCTTATTTCTTTCTATTTATTTATTATTTTTGAGACAGGGTCTCCCTATAGCCCCAACAGACCTGGAACTCACTATGTAGACCAGGCTGGCCTTGAATTCACAGAGATCCGCCTGCCTCTGCCTCCCAAGTGTTGGGGCTAAAGGTGTGAACCACCACACCCCACTTAATGCCTCTTTTTGAACAGTCCAGAGTGGGTTCCCGTTCTCAGCCAAGCTACTAAATCTACAAGGGATAAAGACAGTGAAGAGTTATGGGAGGCCCAAACATATGACCTTGCAGAGGTACTGTCCATTCAGGGGGCTAAGGGGCAAGGATCAGATTTGACTGAACAGGTGTGGTCCGCACAAGACTTCCCAAGATATTGGATGTAATGCCAGGCATGGTGCTCGCCTATAATCCCAGTACTGAGACAGGAGGAACTCTGGCAGTTTCAAGGCCAGCATGGACTACACAGAATTCCAAGCTGATCTGGGTTATACTGGAAGCTCCAGGCTGTCCTATGATATGTAGGGAGACCCTGTCTTTAAAATTAAAAACAAAAACAGCCGGGCATGGTGGCACACACCTTTAATCCCAGCACTCTGAAGGCAGAGGCAGATGGATTGCTGTGATATTGAGGCCAGCCTGGTCTACATAGCGAGTTCCAGGGCAGCTGAGGGTACAGGGAGACTCTGTCTCAAAAAGACCAAAATAAATAAACAAATAAATAAATAAAAATTAAAAAACAGAAAGGGGCTGGAGAGAACTCAGCAGTTAAGAGCACTAGCTGCATTTGTAGAGAACTCTAGTTGAGTTCCATCACCCTCACGGTAGCCAATAACTGTAACTCCAGTTATGGAAAATATTACGCCCTCTTCTGGTCTCTGTAGGCATTGCAAACACACACACAAAATTAAAATAAATATTTTTTTTTTAAAAAAAGAAGAGGCGTCAAGACCAGAGGTGGTCACAGGAGAGCCAGAATCTGGCCACCCGAGTCCTCAGGATGTGCATTCTCAAAATGCTAGGGTCCAGGTCAGACCGCTCACTTCCACCTGCTGCGCGGTCGGGAGCCGGGAGGAGGTGGGGCTTGGTAGCTCTTCGCCAATCAGCGTCACTGGCGCTGGCAGCTGCTTCTATAAAGGGCTGGGGGCGGCGGCTGCGCGGCCCAGAGCGCAGAGCGCGCAGCGCGGGCTGGAGGGAGGGAGGGAGGGCGGGCGCCGGGAGAGACCTGAACACCTTAGGACCCGACAAGGCCGAACCGAGGGGACCGCAGCAAAAATCAGAGCTGCTGAGATCTCTGTCGTGAACCACGTTCTCCACCTGCCCTGTGGGGTCGCGTAGGGAGCATTTTCCATTTGCGCCTGTTCCCTCTATTCATCTCCTGCAGCCCGCAGACCACCCCGGGGCCCGGTCATCCTCGGGTGTATCCTCGGGCTCAGGTCCATCCTTGGCCCTCGAGGGAGCCACCGCTTTCATCGCTGCCTCTGCAGCGCGCATCCGAAGACGCCGGGGCGGGACCCCGGCGTGAGCATCGGGCGCCCCCATAGGAGTGCACGACCCCCGGAGCCGCCCTCACCACGGACCGCGCCCGCCGGGCACACAAGAATGGTCACTGTAGGTATTCACTAGTCGCCGAGAGATAAGCGCCGAAGGGAGGGTTATGTCCAGGCTCCATGGAAATGGAGGTGGGGGGGGTAGGACCAGGCCTAGTTAGGCCCAAGTGTGGTGGGGGGTAGGACCGCACCTCAGGCCTGAGAGTGAGCAGAGCCGCATCAAAGTGCTGGGGAGCGCCTAAAGTCTGCCCTGAGAGGCTTTGGAGAGCCAGGCTGCGATGCTGGGGGCGGGATGCCCACCTCCCTCTCTAGAAGGCCTGATGGGGGAGGGGCCGCGGTGGAGGAGGATGCTTCCTGCATCCCTGGCCCGACTGTGCAGGCCGCCCATGCAAACACAGAGCTCTGATGACTTGGTACTGGTCCAGGTGGAGGCGACACAGCATCTCCACCCACCCACCTACCCAAGAGCGTATTTGGCGGGGTCGGGAGATGCTAGAAGGGAGTAGGGAAGCGGGATGGTGTTGGATCACGCAGCTTCAGGCCTCGGCCGCGCCCGAGAGGCGGGCATCTTCGTCCTCGAGTTCCGTCGACCTTGCGGCAAGCGGGGAGGGGAGAGGAGGGGGCGCGCCCGGAGGCCCCGCAGGCCCGCCACCGCTTTGGTCCCTTTGTTTCTCTGCCCTTCGCGGGCTGTAGCCTCGCTCGGGCGCCTCCGGGCTGCGGACAGGGGGAGGGGACAGCAGGAACTCAGAAGGTGTGTGTGGGGGGGTGTTGCTGGGTTCTGAGCCTCTGCATCCTGGGTGATGAGGTTACAGGGTTGAAGCAGCACCCACCAGGCCTGGTCCACGCGCCCACCCCGCCAGGGCTCTGGGCCTCAGGATGACCTTGAACGCGCCCGCCCGCATCTCAAATCACTCGCCACAAGCCTGGTTTCTTTTCAGCAGCCATGAAGCTGGTCAGCTCCTGAGCTTGCTGGGGGGAGGGGGGGGGTCCTACCCTCCCTGCCACGCCCTGCCTAGCCACGCCCAACCCCGCCCATCTAGGCCCCGCCCCCTGAGCCCCAGGGACCTGGCCTTGCACTAGCCCCCAGATTTCCACTCTGCAGCCTGGGCGGGGCTGAGTAGTGCTAACCCCACCCCGGCTCCACCCTCGCTTTTGCTGTGCCACTTGCTCCCCGCGCCGCCGCGTGTCCTTTGTTTGGTCCTGGCGCCTGGGCCTACCTTTTAGGCTCTTCTCTGTTCCCTTCCTGTGTGTCTCTGTACACCAAGTCTTTCCGGGCCTCTTTTTGGAGTAATGGCCAGTACAGTGAGTGTGGAACTGCTCAGTCTGGGCTCCATCCTGGGCCTCCTTTCTGCTGGATCTTGGGACCCGCCCACCTGGATCTGATAGAGAACCCCCCTCACCATCACACACCCACCCCAAGCCGGGCTCATCTTGCTGTGTGACCTCAGATTGTCTTCTTACCCTCTCAGGGCCTCAGGGTGCTCCTTCAGATTTGGGAACCTAAGTGTGGCCTCCTGAGGCTTCTCAGAACCCCCAGAACCATCTAAGATGCCCTAGGCTACAGGCATTTCTTGTTCCTCTTGAAGAGAATGAACAAAAGAGAAGAGGGTGTGGTCAGAGGTCACACAAGGGCCTTGAGGCCCTTGACAGCCTGGGCATTCCTGTGGGTTGGGGTGGGGAACACACAAATGCAGACATCTTGAGGATAGGCTAAGGAGGAAGTGAAGGAGACAGTGATGGAGACAGATTTGAAGTAGAAAGCTCAGTCAGCACCACGTGGTGGCCCAGACTTGCCCTGTACAGCACCTCAGTGCTCTATTGTCATCAGTATACAGGCATCTGTCACCATGACTGGGGCCCAGGGGGCCAAGGAAGGTCAGGCACAAGAGGGTCTGTGGAACAAGTAGACTTAGATATGTGCTTATAAGGGATCCCTGTGTCAGATGTGTGTGCAGTGGTGAAAAAGAGCTGGGGGAAGTACCCCTGGGGAGGGGGCACTGGGAAAAAGAAGGGAAGGTAGGGGGGAGAAGTCATAAGACCAGTAGACACACAGAAGGAGCCAGGGGAGGGAGGGAAGGTTCCTGGCTCTCGGACTTTCTGCTAGCCTCCTCTCCATCTTCCCTTCCTATCTTGTCCTTTTCTGACCTGGATCCAATCCTCAAAGTCCCCTCAGATGTCGCGGTGCCACCATCCCAAACCATTTACTTCCTGCAGGCCAGGGCAGGGTGGGTCTGGTTTCTACCAATCCGATCCCTATTATCAGCTTAGGCAGCTCAGCCTCACCTAAGAGCCTGTCCCTGCTAAGCTCCATCCCAGAGAGGATAGAGAAGGGGTGATGGCCAGATGAGTAGGCAGAACTGCAAAATCCCTGGTTCTGTCACTGTCAAGGTGTGCACAGGATGGGGGCATAGATGGCAACTCCATAGACTCTGGGGGTCATTAAGTCCCCCAGAACTGACTCAAAGCTGTCCAGCCCAAGAGATCAAGAGATGGCTCAGTGGAGCTTGACACCAAGATGACGACCTAAGGAAGGAGAGAACCAACTCCCAGGAGGTCACCCTCTGCACTCCACCACACGTGTTCACATACACACACACACCTAAATAAATAAAGCCATTGTAATGCCCTTTCCTGTGATCCTAGCACTCGGGATAAGACAGGAAGATGGTAAATTCAAGGCACACCTAGGCTTCATAACGGATGCTGAGTTTATAACCTCTGACCTTAGTTTCTCCAAGAAATGGAGTAAATGGTCTCCACTTTTCCATGTGGTTAAGATTCAGAGAGGTGACATGACCAAACATAAAAGGAATGGGGTGAAACTAGCCAGTAGTAGCATGTGGTAGCCTTCAGTAAAGGCTGGAGAGATGGCTCAGCGGTTAAGAGCAATGACTGCTCTTGCAGAGGACCTGGGTTCGATTCCCAGCACCCACATGGCGGCTACGAACCATCCTTAACTCCAGTTCCAAGGGAATCCAAAGCCCTCTTCTGACATCCACAGCATTGCATGACATGGGTGCACTCACATACGTGCAGGCAATATGCTCATACACATAAAATAAAGATAATAAAATATTTTTTTAAAAAATGCACCCCTGGAGGCCAGGCATAGTAACACATTCCTCTAATCCGGAGGCAGAGGTGGAGGCAGGAGGATCTCTGTAAGTTCAAGGCCACCCTGGTCTACACACTGAGTTTCAGGCCAGCTGGGGCTACAGGAGGCCCTGTCTCAAAAAGACCAAATAATAATTAATAATAATAATAATAAAAGTAACACCCCTGGGGCTGAAGAGCTGGCTCAGCAGTTAAGAGCACTGGCTTGTAGAGGACCCGGGATCAATTCCTAGCACCCACATGGTGACTGACAACAATCAGTAACTCCAGCTCTAGGGAAATCTAACACCCTATTCTGGCTTCTGCAGGCACTGCATGACTCGGGTGCACTGACACACATGCAGGCAATACAACTCATGCACATAAGATAAAAACAATAAAATACTTTTTAAAGAGTAACACCCCTACACGGGACAAACTGACACATACCTGTAATTCCAGCCCTCTAGAGGTGGGGGATCGGAATTTCAAGTTCATTCTCAGCTACATAATGAGTTAGAAGTCAGCCTAGTCTACATAAGACTGTCTCAAAAAACAAACAAAGCAAAGCGGGGTGAGGTGGTGCATGCCTTTAATCCCAGCACTTGGAAGGCAGAGGCAGGCTGATCCCTGTGAGTTCAAAGCCAGCCTGGGCTACATAGTTCCAGGGCAGCTGGGACTACAGGGAGACCCTGCTTCAAAAAGACAAAAAATAAAAAAAAAAAAAAAAAAAAAAAAAAAAAAAAAAAAAAAGCAGAAAAAAGAAAGAAGTGGGTGTATTGATGTACACTTTTAGTCCCAGCACTCAGGAAGCAGAGGCAATCACTGTGAGACTGAGACCAGCCTGGTCTACATAACAAGTTCCAGGCCAGCTGGGGCTACAGGGAGACCTTGTTTCAAAAAAACAAAAGAAAGAAAGAAAAGGACAGGAAGAAAGGAAGAAGTAGTAACCACGTGGTTACCATAGTCTCCAGGTCTTAGGTTCCATCCCTAGTACCTCTCCCTCCAAAAAAATGTAATGCCCAGGGTATAGTAAACATTAAGTGCTCAGATTTACTGGTTTCATTTGTTGGTTGGTTGTTATTTTATGAGCATTTACTTGCATGTATGTAAGTATACCACATGTGTACAATACTCATAGAGGCCAGAAGAGGGTGTCAGATCCCCTGGAATTGGAATTAAAGATGGCTATTAGTTGCCAAATGGTGCTGGGAACTGAACTGGGGTCCCCTGCAAGACAGCTCTTCAGCCCCCCCCCCCTTTTTTTTTTGAGACAGATTCTACTCTGTAGCTCAGGCTGGTCTAGATTCCACTATGTAGCTCAGGCCAGCCTCAAATTCAAAGCAATTTTCCTGCTTGCTATGGTATGGTCTACCATGCCAGTCATAATTTGCTATTTTTGTTTTTTGTGTGTTTGTTTTTTGTTTTGTAGTGCTGGGGGTGGAACCCATGCTTTGTATATGCTAGGCAAGTGCTCGCCCACAGAGCTAAACCTCCAGTTCTGCTGCTGCTGTTGTTATTGTTTCATTCAAAGAATGAGATATGGGTTCAAAATCTTTGCTTCATATGACTTAATTTTTTATTATAATTTTGTCTATTTATGTGTGTGTTTATGTGCGTGTGTTTGTGTGTGTGTGTGTGTGTGTAAGTCAGAGGGCACAGAGGACAGTTAGAGGCAATCAGTTCCTTCCATTATGTGGGTTTCCAGACCAAACTCAAGCCATCGCACTTGACCACAAGCTCCTCTACCCACTGAGCCATCTCGCTGGCCTTGGTATGAATGTCTGCTTTGACATTTGCATCCTGTGCTGATGATCCCTGGTCTGCTAAGATTTGGTTTTCTTTAGTGAAGAAAAAGAACTTCACAAAGTTCATTGTTGGGAGAATTACCTGGAAGTTTCATATGAAAAAGCAGGGGTAGATGTCAGTGGTATGTCTAGAATGCATGAAGCCCAGAGTCAATCCCCA